GAAGCTCTGTTTTGTCAGCTTTTTTATATAACTTTTCTTCAAGTTCATTTACGTCAGAGATGCTATGTCTATGATATTTTTGTGGGTATGTTCCTTCTGTCCATGCGAAAATACGTTCTTTTGTTGCATCTACATATCCTTTTATCCATGTCGAGTCTGCTTTTGTATTCCTTAACTCTGTAACACCTTTCTCAAGCTCTTTCAACTGTTGTCCATCTTCCATTAAACCTCTGGTATGACTTGAAACCGTTTGTGCCAACATATCTACAGTTTCTTTGTCGGCTTTAAGGTCTAAACACCCTGAAACCCATCCTGTATTGGCTTTACCTTCTAAAATCTTCGATGTCCGTTCATGGTACCATTCAACCCTTTTTATAATTTCATTGTCTTTTTCATCCACATATTCCTTATCTGCCTTCTTCACTAACCCACTAGCCAGATATGCTAACTCATCGTCAACATACTCTTTGTCAGCTTTCTTTTCAACATCCTCTTTTGTTGCATATGTTGCATCTGCTCTGTCATGTTCTTCTTGAACTTTTTCAATGACATACTCTTTGTCAGCTTTGTTGTCAATATCTGCTTTCAAAAGAAGTTCATCTATAGGTTTCTCGTTTAAAGTTCTTTTTGTTGGATTTATACAAACAGTATGGTTCTTACTGTCTTGAAACAGAAACTCGTCTGTCAATGGGTTTATCGTCAGTTTTAAGTTTCCTTCTTTCAATGACTCAGATATCTTAGAATAGTTTGAAAAGTTTGTTGTGTTCTTATTTAGAGCTTGCACAATGAGTTGTCGGTTGTGTTGTATTTCTCTCATAGACGCTGTTTCTTTCGACATTTTTATTCTAGATAAAATATGCTTTCAATAGAAAAAGAAAATTCAAGAGTTGCTACAACTAAACCATTAGATGAACTTTTTACGAATGTCGGTCAAAAGTTTGAGACAGAGACCGTAAAGCATGAAGGCTATCGTTTGACTACCCGTTAAGATGGTTAAGAGACCCATCCGTCACAAAAGCTATTGGCTTTCGTAGAATGAAGTTCATTTCAGAAGCCATACATGGTTTCCCATTTACGGTCGTTTTGAAGTTCGATACTATAACAAAGAAAAACGTACGTATGAGAAATTTGAACAGGGAAAACTTTTACAAGTGAATTTGCTTGTAAACTTAGAAACAACTCTTCAAGCTTTTCAAGAAAAAATAAACGATATCTATCTCGAATATGCAAAACAGTATAACATTGACGAGGGAGAGTACCATCTCGATATTATTTATGACAGGAAAAATGCAACTGTTAAAATCAATAAAATAGAAGACCTTGGAGAAAACGTTTATATTTCTACAAAATATAACAACTTGGCATGGCATAGATTTTTGAGGATGTTAAATCAGCCTGCATGGTATCCAGTACACCCGGACTATTATGAAGTCGAAAACCCTAATGGAACATATGAAAATGTTTTCGACTCAGATGCTATTATAGTTCATGCTTCATTTTCTGGTGCACAAAACTCTTTTTTATGCTTGGCAAATGACTTTTACGAAAACCTACAAAGCTATATGAACCACCAAGTGGAAGTATTTCAGACTTTCAAGTATGGTTTACTACAGATGGAAGAAAGAGAATAATTCCATTATACCACGCGTTTTACTTAGAACTTAGTTTCATATACAACTACTATCGAACGGTAAAAATATGATTTTTTAATACGGTTGAGGTGTTGGATTTGGTTGCCAACTAGACTGTGGTGCAGGTTCAGGCTGTTGTATAACAGGAGCTTGCTCTTCTGGTTCAGGGTCTTTAGGTATAATACCAACGAACTGACCTACTCTTTTGCCAATATTTTTGACTCCGTTCCAAATTCCTCTTCCGACGGTTTTTATTCCATTCCATATACCTCTTCCAACATTTCGAAAGAAGTTTCCTATTCTTCCAAAGAAACCCATTTTACTATATGTAAAAATCTAATGTCCACCTAGTCTCTTACGTTTCCTTCTGAGTTCCATAGCATTCTTTAACTGGAGCTCATACATTCTATTTCTCCTCTGGTAGAAAACATACTCTGGGTCAACTCCTGTGTTCGCGTCATCTGCATAGAGTTGTTATATCCCACTTCAGGGTTTGTATAAAACTCTTTCCATCTCATATTTGCATACCATGGTGGTAAGCCTAACGCAGCGTCATTTGACATGGCAGTTTGCATTTGTACATCTGTTGGCACTTGACCATAGTTTGCCATTGCAGTTTGTATTCTAACTTCATTTGGAATATTCTCTGGGTTTGGTTGTCCAGGTTGCTGTGCATTCGCTAAGTTCTGTGCGTCCATTTAATATTAGATAAAAATATCTCTTACGAGTACATATACCGAACATTTGCAGGCATTGGTTCATCTTCATATTCTCTGTACTTTTCTGCCACGTCAAATAAGTAAATGACACAATGGAAAAAACCTAAAACAAGTAGTCCTATTTCAAACCACATTTACTTACTAGTAAAATTTCTTTGTTGTGACACTTTTTCCGGTTTATAGGACCTCTCTCATATTCTATCTTATCGTATCTAAACTCATAGTCATGTATGTCCTCTAACCATCTCATGACACTTTCCAAACCACTTTTATCGGATGTAAAGTAAAAGCATGGATGGTTATGTAAAACGTCTAAAGTTTCTAAAGAGTCTCTCAAAGTCCAGTCTACTTGGTATTGAAAATCGTATGTGTTATAGAACGGCGGGTCTACTATAAAGAAAACATTTTCCTTGTTTTTATATTTTTCATACAACTCTGTCCAATGACATCTCACAAACTCTATACCCTCAGTATATTTTTCTATGTTCTCTTTGAAAACCTTTGTATAGTTAAGATATAAAACGTTTGACATAAGTGTTTCAATGTCATGAACTCTTATAGAACCACTATATAATAGTCTAGAAGATATACTATCCCAGTCAATATACTCTGCCTTTTTCAAAACCTCTCTGACAGTATTTTTCTTATCTAATGGTATACGTTCCATCTTACCTATAGGTATCTTTTCTTTTAACTCTTTCAATATTTTGTTTTGTGTCTGGTATATGTTTGAGACGGTTCATATAGTTGTCGAAGTCATTGCATATAATCTTTGAGTCTGGGAATACGGTATGGCACAAATGAGATATATAGAAACTTCCACCGAACAAATCTACAAATGTTAGACCATTCGGTAGTTTCTTAAGTTCTCTCAATAGAATATCTTTACATCTACTCTTATTTCCAAAGAAGGGTAACGGTGGTTTTGTAAAATTCATTTTATATATATAATAAAAAATGTTTTTACCCGAAAAGTGACAGATGTTTTATTGTGACTTCTTCGTAAAGACTTTGTTGAGATTTCTTCGTAAATGAGTGTAAATGACCCAAAAATATATTTTAGGGTAGAAGGGTATATCTAACCTCTTTTCTACCCTCATTTCTACCCTCTTGAATTTTCATGAATTTTACACCAAAAATATATTTTAGGTGAAGAGGTGAGATTTCACCTCTTTTTTCACCTCATTTCTCACCTCTTGAATTTTCATGAATTTCTTCGTAAAGACTTTGTTAAGACTTCTTCATCTAATTTCTCATGAACTTTCTTGTCTATGTTTTGTTGAGATTTCTTCGTAAAGACTTTGTTGAGATTTCTTCGTAAATGACCCTAGTAGTATATTTTTGGTGTAAATTTCATGAAAATTCAAGAGGTGAGAAAAGAGGTGAAAAAACAGGTGAAATCTCACCTCTTCACCTAAACATTATTTTTGGTGTAAAATTCTGAGTAAAATGACAGATGGAACACATACTTTTTCAGTAAGTACATATGGGGTAGAAAAGAGGGTAGAAAACGGGGTAGATATACCCTTCTACCCTAAAATATATTTTTGTCTGATTTACGCTCATTACGATGAAGTTTTGACAAAGTCTTTACGAAGAAATCTTGACAAAGTCTTTACGAAGAAATCTTGACAAAGTCTTTACGATGAAGTTTTGACAAAGTCTTTACGATGAAGTTTTGACAAAGTCTTTACGATGAAGTTTTGACAAAGTCTTTACGATGAAATCTTGACAAAGTCTTTACGATGAAATCTTGACAAAGTCTTTACGATGAAATCTTGACAAAGTCTTTACGATGAAATCTTGACAAAGTCTTTACGATGAAATTCATGAAAATTCAAGAGGTGAAAAATGAGGTGAAAAAACAGGTGAAATCTCACCTCTTCACCTAAAATATATTTTTATTGAATTCTGTATAATATTCTGAGTAATATGACAGATGTTTATATAACACTTTCTCCGGTTTATAGGACCTCTCTCATATTCTATCTTGTCATATCAAAACTCATAGTCATGTTTGTCCTCTAAGACTTCATTTATACTAAACATCTTCAGGGCTAGAAGGCACGAAGTGCCTGGAAGCCCCACTCCCTTTTTTTTTTTTTTTTTTTTTTTTATCCCACTTGATTGATTGGAAAATGAAACCATAAAAAAGTGACAGACATGATTGAAAGGAATTATCGGTTTGGCCCAATCACACCAATTTTGCGGGTTTACGGCTATGGGTGGCATGGTGCTCCATATTCCTCCCCACATGAACCCGCACAGAGGGCCCTGAGCAGAACCGACAGCTAGGTGGCTGAAGACTGTAACTGGCCAATAATTTTCATTTTATAGAGTTTAACTTTTTTTTTCATTTTACCGATATCAACTAGTGATTTCTGAATTCTAAGTATTTTTATTTGCTAGATTTAATACTGCCAATTCCAACGAAAGATAAGCCAATTCATATTGATAACTCTGTTTCTTTGTTGCAATATTTACACCGCATACTCAAGCAAAAACTCACAGCATTGAATGCATTTAGAGCCACATTCTTCATTGGCGAAGGCCAGATCCCGAATTCTTTGCTGACTAAGATGAATTTACTTCAACTGCAAGCAAATCTCAGCGTAAGACAATCCAAAGTATCGCGTTACTTACCTGACTGATGGAAAATCGAAAGGATTACGGACCTCATTTAATTTGTGGTCTTCTGACAAGATTATCTAACTTGTATAGCGAATTTAACAAATGGTTACTCGCATTCAACGTCATACAGTATACAAGAATCCCTGAAGAGAGAAAACAAAAAGCAAATTCATATCTCGCCAAGGGAAGCAATGTAAACGTTGTTTTGACTAGCTACGAGTTCGCTACCCGTGATAGGGCTACTCTTGGCCGCTTGTATTACTCCTATCTGATTATTGATAAAGCCTATTATCTGAAAAACGACCAAAGCAAGCTAGGCCAAGCCATCAGTGACTACAAATGCGATAACAGATTGGTTACGCCCCTTCAAAATAACCCTAGAGAACTTTGGTTGTTAAATAACAGCGATAACTCACAATTCGAAGAGTGGTCCTCGGATCTATTCTCCAAAGCAGGCGGAGGATGTCTCATTAATTGGAGAAGAACGTTCCTTATCAGTCGTACTACCACCGAAGTTGCCACAGAGCTTCCTGAGATGCGCAAATGCAAGCTTTTGCGCACGATGTCCGCTTGGAAAAAAGTTGTATTCCATGGACAACATTCTACACCTTGATAACCAGACCATGCAGCTACATAAATTGTCTCTTACAATATTTATTGAGAGATATTTCTTTGGATCAACCAATTCTGGTTTGATAATTTTGTAAATTGAGTTTAATTCTTCTTCATTTTCCGTTTTTAGCTTATATAACTACATCGATGTAGTATTTATAAATTCTTCGCAAATCACCGTATTTATTTGAGTGAATATCTTGATTAGACATTAAAAAATTTAAAAATATCATGGGTATTTATATGCCCCTAGCATACATATCTATTTTATCAAGCAAGATTTCAATGGGACATTGCAATCTTGAAACAAATGAATTAAAATTTGAATAACTGCAAGCTAAATAAGAAAGAGATTCTAATAAAAAGAGTATAAATCAAGTTTTTAGTATAATTTATCTTCAAATTAGAAGTTTAAGCGCGTAATGCTATAATTGTAGTTATTGTATGGGATCCTGAACTGTACGTATTAAGTTCAGGATATAATAAGCTTAAATTTTATACAATTATTGTAAATTGTATCAAATCTACTGTATTATTTTGATTTATGATAAAATACTTAATTGCTTCTTGTTTTTGATTATCTCATGCCAAACTCAGCCTTCTACATATGCATGCTATATAAATATAGTATCTAACTAGAGTTTTTGGCCAAAAAGATCCGATCGGATGGAAGTTAATGTAAATTACATTAATATTCGTGTGATAAAATGCTGGAAAATAATTAATTGGCAAATTCTTCCAATGTAGTTGTCAGTTGAGAATCCAAAGAGTGTGAAACAACGGATTTAAGACATGCTTCGTTTCTTTGTTTCATTAACGAAAGTCTTTGCATATGTAACTCGATTAGATCTATTATTTTATTCTTTTCATCGTTTGTAACTTTAATTTCATATTGTATTGCATCGAGTTCATTTGCAAACTGAGAATCAATTACGGCCAGTTCATTTCGACGTTTTTCGATAAGAGCTTGGTATTTAAGTACGTTTCCTGATTCTTTTTCTAATTGACTTTGTAATTTTTCTATTTCTGAATCTTTTATAGTATCACCTTCAGATCCTCCTTTGAAGTGCTTTATTTTAGACTCCTGTTCTGATATCTTTCCACGAAGATCTATTAATTGTTTATTGACTGTTTGTTTATTTTTCTCTTTAAATTGCAATTTCTTTTTCTCGTCATTTAATATTGCTTATAATTCTCTGTGTTTATATTCTAACTCTGTTACTGATAATTTTTCTTCTTCTAATGATGAATACAAAGACTGAAGCTCACTCCTGGCACCATCAATTTGGGCATTAAGGATTTTGACCAGCTTATCTTGTGGAATAGCCGAAATATCTTCATCAGTAAGCTCTGTTGCATGAAGCATCGGTTTAAAATTTATTTGCTCAGAAAATATTAAATTGAACCTTCACTGACTTTTCAATGCTTGATTTTAAGGTTCCCATAAAATCAAGCTAATCATTGAAGGCAGATGAAGACTAGTAATTACCATCGGACTATTTCAGAGAATTGAGCTCAGGCTCAATTCTCTGAAAAGTCCGAGATAATTTGCTAAATTCATTTTTGATATCAACCCGTTTCTAAAAAATTTCGGAAATTTTTCATTCAAAAAATTAAGGGTGCACCCGTATGTACGTTTATTTGAGAGGACGAGGATTACCCTCTCAATTTTGAGGGATTCGTTAGTTTATTTTCTCGATGAATATGCAATAAAATTTGATTTTTACCTTATCAATATACTTCATATAATATACACATGTTCATGTAAAAACTTTTTCCCAAAATCCTCAGGAATTAAGGGATTTTTGAATTTTAAGAATTTTTTTCGAATTTTTTCGAAAAAAAAATATTTTCAGAACAGTCTTAACGGCTAAGATTTAGGAACAATGTTAAGTATCAAAAAAAAAAAAAAAAAAAAAAAAAAAGGTAGTGGGGCTTCCAGGCACTTCGTGCCTTCTAGCCCTGAGGATGATTGATATAATGAAGTTTTTTTTTTCTTGGGGTGAGCTTCCAGGCGCGTTGCGCCCTCTAGCCCACATAAATGAAGTTCTTATATATACGGGTCTTCCAGGAGCTTTTCACAAATTATATATGTTTTCATGTTTTGTCATGATTTCATCGTAAATGTTTTGTCAAGACTTCTTCTTCGTAAATGTTTTGTCAAGACTTCTTCTTCGTAAATGTTTTGTCAAGACTTCTTCGTAAATGTTTTGTCAAGACTTCTTCGTAAATGTTTTGTCAAGACTTCTTCGTAAATGTTTTGTCAAGATTTCTTCGTAAATGTTTTGTCAAGACTTCTTCGTAAAATGTTTTGTCAAGACTTCTTCGTAATGAGTGTAAATGACCAAACTGACAACACTTTGACCGAGTAGTTTTTTGTGCTGAACAAAAAGTGTCATATAAACATCTGTCAAAAACCGCTTTTTAACTTTACTTAAAATGCCACGTAAGCTACGTAAGAATATACATAAGAGGAAGAGAGCATTGAAACATCCAATAGTAAGACTAACACCACAACAACAGTTGCAACAACAAATGCTGAATGACCCCACTATGTTGCAACAAATGTCAAGCAATCCTATGCTTTTAAACCGAGTTGTTGGTGCACAGAGTGGAGGTTTAAGAGCGGCACTTTTAGCGAAAATGGCAGGCTATGGTGGAGCTGCAGACGGAACAGCATATAACCCTCAAAGTCAAATGAATTTGAGTTCACTCAAAAATCAAATAACAGATGTCAAAAAGTCAAACATAGACATACAGAAGCAAATAAGTGAAAACGAAAAGAAACTAGAATATGACAGACACACAAAGAAACTCAATGAGTTAAACGTAGAGAAAAAGAAGAAAGAAGAACAACTGAAAGAACTAAGTACAGAGGAATATGCGAAAAAAGTGTCAGAAAAAGCAACAGAAGTAGCAAAAATGGAACAAGATGTCATAAATTTGAAAAACCATACTACTCAATATAAAGTACTGAAAGATGAAGAAATAAAACAAAAAGCCCTGAAGACATATATGGATAGCGATGAGTATAAAAAAGAAGTTGAAGCAAATGTAAAGGCAGAAAAACTTTTACAGTTGCAAAACCAAACCGTACAGTATGAAAACTTAGCACAAGAAAGTAAAAATAACGACGCAGCCATGCAAAAGGCAATGAAAAGCGCAGAATATATAAAAGCTAACAATGACTGGTTAGATGCCCAAGCCAACGCTAAAGCAGCCCAACTCATAGGGTCAATAAGGACAAAAATACAAGCGGATGAAGACAGTTCAAATGAAGCTTTAACAAATGCTGACTTTAAGAACGCTTTCGAAGCTCTTCATAGTAAGGTGAAACAAGTGAACGACTTCTCATCTGGAAAGAAACTGAAGTCTGAAGGTTTCGACAAAGAGTTAAAAGAAGTAGCACAAAATATGACGAAAATAACAGATGCAGCAACGAGACAGGCAGTTCAAAGTGCCTATGACGCCGTTAGAGCAACTGTTGTGAAAAGTCAAGAAAAAGAGTTACAACAGACCAAAACAGACCTAGTAAATGCTTTCTTAAGAACGAAAAGTCAGGTAGGACATTACGCTGCAGATGGAACATATGTGCCAGCTGGTGGAACTTATATACCACCAAACCCTCCAAGAGAAGCACCTGCACCAGGACTACCTAGAACATTTACATCGTCACATGGACACAGACACAGGCATGCACCAAAACCAACACAACAACAACAACAACCAGCACAACAACAACAACCAACACAACAACCAGCACCACAACAACAACCAGCACAACAACCACCTCCACAACCAGCACAGCAACCAACAGTTCAAAACCCTGCACAACAACAACCACAAACAGAACAAGGAAACCAAGAATTCTTAAAAATGCTTAAAGAAGAGTGTGGTTTCCCAGATACTGTTGACTTTAGTGACAGATATAAAGAAGCTATTAGAAAGTTCAAGGATGGAAATACTGACCCGAACCTATTTAGCTTTATGGCTCAGCACCAAAACGGATATAATCTCAAACCTGGAAAATACAAGCTCGCTAAGGGATATGATTTAATAGCATATCATCCAAATGACATGGATGAATTTACTCCGAGATATTTGATGTCAGAGCTAAATGACAATTCAACTTTCGTCATGAAACGCGTAAAAAATAGAGACGGAACGAAAGAACAAAAGCTTATGAATGCGGATGACGTAGATAGGGAAATTGTTGAAAACGGTCTCGGAATATATGAAATGCCAGCAGATGAGGTACAAGAAACTCCACAGGAAGAACTAGTTCAGATACAACCAGACATGGAAGAAATAGTTCAGCAACAACAGCTAGAAGAGCCTGAAGGAAACGAACAAGTCCTTCCTTTGGAAACTAACTTCACAGAACTAGATGAAGATTTGGAACAGCCGAAAAATCTTGACCCTCAACAAGAGTATGCGGAGAATATGGAATATTTCCAGGAGTCTAAAAAAAATTCGGCTGACATAGTAGAAGAATATCGAAAAATGTTTGCCGACATACAAAAGACTCCAACACCAGATGAAAATATTCAGCATAGAATGGAAGAACTGAAAAAAAATGTACACAAATACAACAACCCTTTTTACTTACGAGCATTTAACGTTCAATCTTCGGATGAACTCGGTGAAGATAAAAGGTTAAATTTCAAGAAAACATATAGAAATGAAACATTGTTTAAAGTTCATTCAGAACCTAGCCAAGATGGAAACAAACCTACTTTTGTTTCTGCAGACGATGGAACTACAATGAGATGGGGTCATAAAGCTAACCCGGATAGGTGGTTCATAAACTTACAACCACAATTCCAAGAAGTTGTAGACGCAATGGAAGTCAATGGTGAACCAGATATAGCTGGTATTTTCAGCGCGGCTTTAATGCCATTGAAAGATATGAAAGATGCAGATATTTTGAACCAGTATGAAATGAACATGGCTGATGGAAATATAACACCTGACGTTCTAGAACATTTATCTCAAAGAACTACACAGAACCATAGAGATGGTATATTTGGTGAAGAGTTTAGAAAGAAAGTTAGGGAGACAGAAGGAAGAGAACCTATTGTACATGACCTTGCAAACGAAAGTTTACAAATGTCATAAAAACTTACTTTGCAGACAATGAACCGAGAAGGGATGAATATTTAAGAAAACTCAAATGGACAGTACCAAATGAAATGTTAGTATTGAAAAACATGTTCCTTGACAAAATAAAACCAACTACAGAAATAAACGACGCAAGACTGAAAGATTGGGTAAAAGCTTTCCCATTCACAAAAGATATAGTTGGTAACATGGAAAGAAAACCAGAATGGCTACAAAAACATATATTTGGAAACGAGCATATTCCATATGGACAGGCACTGTTTGAAGAGCTTGAACCGGAAACTCAGGAAAGAGTCATGCAAACAATACGCGAAGACTCAAATACAGACTATGACAAACTCTTTCTAGGATATAGGTTACCTGAGATGGGCGACCAGAGCCAAAAGGCAAAAAGGACATGGGAAATTTGCAACATACTAGATGAACATGAGGCAAAGATGCAACAACTTCAAGCAGAGGGCAATGAAGGAAAAAGAAGAGTTAAAAACTCAGTCAGGAAGAAAGTAAAGCTTGGTCCACGTGGGTTCTATTATGACATATAAATCCAACTATTCTATATTTTTACTCATATGAAATGTACGCCGCTCAGAATATAACGCCAACAGTTTTGGATGCTATGAATGGAAATGTTTCCGAATGGTATAACGAATGCGACAATGCCATTAGAAGGTCAGAAATAGTTCCTGGAACTTACGAATATACAACTGCTGTTTCTTATGGAAACGTAGGTGAGTTTGGAGAAGGTTCTTCAACAACAGTAGATATTGCTTGCGACAGGTTTCATATAATTTCTATTGACAACTCTTTCTTATACGTGGAACAAGACATTGAAATAAAACCTTCTGCCAAGTTGTCTGACAAGAAAGGTTGCAATGGAATTTTCTATGTCGGATACCAATATGCTCCAGAAGTTTTCATGGGATATAAGATATATTCTAACTCTGACTTAGTTCAAACAGTAACATGGGCAAACTATGAATGGTTCGCTTTGAGAAACTCAGTACAACCACAAGCTAGAGAACAAACAGACCAGTATGCAACTATTGAGAAAATAAGAAGACTTGACCCTAACGTTCCAGGAGTTTATGTTAACCTTTCTGGACAAACTGCAGCAGCAGTAACCAAAGTAAAACTGAAACTTAGAGTTCCTTTGTCATCTTTCCTCATCTTCAGGTTTTTAAGATACTTGCCAAACTGGGCAGGAAAAATTTCTATCGAACTTACTCCAAGCAAAAATAACTTAGTCATTGCACCAACACAAGACCCATTCACTCTTACAGAAGTAGTGGGAACAAATAAAATGTCATTCGCCGACTTTTGCAAAAACAAAGTTGACTTAGACTTTGGTTTCTCAAACCTCAACACTGAAGTAAACTATTATTTCAATGCTGCTGGAGATGCTTGGGACCCAGTTAAGTTCACATGCGAAAAGTTTGAATGCAAGAGAATAGAAAGCAGACTTGCAGTCTATATGTTGGACCCAGATATTTCAAATGCTTTAGCTGCCAAATATATTGCAGTTCCACTTATGTTCCCTATACACCAAATATCTGTCAAAGACTTTGCAGGTGAAGTTGGAAACCAAAGTGCTGACCCAGGTGCAAGAACAGATATTGCTTTAACAACTGCAATGAAACATGCAGATACTATGTTGTACTGTTCAGACGAACTATAAATGACTATTCTTGCTTCTACAACCCTGGTATTAAATATCATATAAACATAGATGGCAAATATTATCCAAGAGAAGAATATTCTACAGTTGAGGATATGAGTCATACAACTTGACATTAGATGCTATGAACTTTAACAACAACTTCACAACAACCATAAACCCTGAAATGCAAAGTTCTATTATGCCATATGTGAAAGTATGGACTCATACAGGAGGTCAAAAAACTCAATATACAAATGGAGACCGTTCAAACTTTTGGCTTGGCATTCCATTTGCTGACTCAGAAGACTTTATGGGTGGTATTTCAACTGTTGGTACAGTTCAAATACAATATACTGGTGACAGAGACGGTCCAGATGAATTGAGAGCAAAGAAGTTTACAAAACCAATAGCACTTTTCACGGAAGATGCTCTTTTGAAGATTCGTTCGATGAAACCTGCTGGGGCTCCTCAGATTGGCATAACGACAGCTTCCATCGAGCAGATTTTGGCAGCAGGTCAGTAAGTTGTTCTTGAACTGACTTCTCTCCGTCAAATATTGACAGTACGCCAGTTTTGACATAAAATTGTATTATAAACTTACCTTTAGAAATATCTGTAAGTTTTGTTGTTATATTTTTGTCTGCTTCAAGAACTTTCACCATTTCAGTTATACCAACTTTCTTTGCTTTATGGAAATATTTTGGTTCAGCAAATATTGCTATTCTATAACATTTACCATTGTTTGTATAAAGAACTATTCTGTCAATGTATTTGTATTGTTTGTGTGTGTAAACTTTGTTCTGCTTCAATTCGAAGAGATACTCGAATACGTCCATCTTTTTATTCTAAGTAAAATGTCATTTCCGAAAAATAGAAGCGTAAGTGTTTCAAAAGGTTTAATGGCGGTGGCAGATGTGAAGTTAAATTCACCAACTCAAACAAACAGTCAAAGTGTTGTTGTCAATGTCAAAGAAAGAGATGTTGAAGTGGGGAAACCATACGAAGACGAAGATGGTATAACAATAGTTCCTGTAAAAGAACAACCAACATATCCTGAAGTTAGCAGAGACTTAAGTTCTGTTGCAGATATTCGACAACTACCAACAACTTAAAGACAAACTTAAAACTCAGGAGAAGATTTGTCAAGCTTTGGGTATAATGTTAAACTTGGTCGAACACAACCCTGTAAAAGTGAACTCATATGTCATCGCACCTCATGAAATTTTGAAAGAACTATTGAAACTTTTGACAGAGGCAGACGATATAAACATCAAAGAAATAGAACCCGACATTGCTTGCTGTGGTGTTTCATACAATGTCATTGACAAGATATACGTTATGAAAGGAGGTGAAACGTTGAACTTAAAATATAGTTTCCCAGACGTCATAAAAATATTTGACGACCAAACATTTCATTAAAATTTAGTTGCTAAGTAAAAATGTCAAACTTCTTGAAAGATGTTTGAAGAAAAACAATATAGACTTTATTTCATGTAAAGGACTTTACACACTTTTGAACGATATGAAAGACCCTGTTTTGTTTGTTCGTGTAGACAAAGGAAAGTTCTATGTCTTTACAAAATATTTGAATTCTTAGACAGAGAACTTCAAGAAACGCCATGTGAAAGTTTAGATGAAGTTCTTCTCCACTTTCAGAAAAACTTTTAAATATATGTAAATGGCAGAAGACATAGTGGTTTTACTATTACGACTAAAAACCCTGAGTCATATAATTCTATAACAACAAACTTACAAAGTCCTCAAGGACGATATTGTAAACTGACCTTAAACACGATGACGACTAAAGCCTGTTTTGCTCTTTTGACACCAGAAGACTTTGTTGTTGTTGTGAATGGTAAAAAATACTTCTTTGAAGATACTTACTCAGAGATATACCACCAACAGGTTTTGTTGACTTATTTAATACTTTAAGGACGGATGTAACATGTGCTGCAACTAGAGCAGGTTTCATTATGTTTGGATGTCCGACTGAGTTTAGTATAAACGATATGAGCTATAATACAAAACTTATATCTGGTTTTTACTACCAACAGTTTCCTATAACAGGAAAAAGGTGTCATACAAGGTTTTTCTGTTCCATTGACTTTAATACACCTATTTTATATATTGTTTCAAACTTAGGTTCAAAGTGCTATTCGAATGTCGACAGAAACTACTATGACCAAAAGATACTCATGCGTATAAACAACACTTTCTCTGCTGGTTTGCCTATTGTTCATTCGAATGCAGAGTTTTCAGCTTTAGTAAACTCAAACACTTTAGCAAACATAAACTTAACCTTAGTTGACGCAAACTTTGTTCCTGTAAAACTTTTATGTCCTATGTATTGTCAATGACGGCAGAAAGTTTCGAATTGGAAGATGCAACTGGTGAAAGTATGTACTACAAACAACTTCAACAACAAATAGCTCAAGAACAACAAATGGAACAAATGCAACAACAAAGTCAAGAATAAAAAAAATATTTTTTTTATTTTTATAAAAATGTACAGAATAGACGTTTCAGATTTTTATGACTTCCAAGCGTTCAGAAATATGTGTCCATTTAGAGACTA